GTTTCCACAACAATCATTACGACAAACATTTGTTTCTGAATCGGACTGGAATGATCAAAATGCTATGCATGCTTATTTATTTTGATAAAATAGTTTTTCATTCATATATTCTTTGTAGATCATCCGAAAAAAAATTTAATACTGCAGAAATAACCTCGAATGTTTTTAAAAAAAAGTGAAATATCATCAACAACAGATCAACAACAAGATCAAACATCATCAAATTATAATCGACGAGAAAAAGAGTCAAAATATGATCATCGTAGACCCATTTATCATTCATCGCCAAGTAATACTCGTCCATATCGTGATCAAAAAGATTACCAGCATCAATATAGACAAAGTCATCGAAGTTATTCATTCACATCATCTTCTCCTGATCTTTACTCTGCTCGACATAAAGGTTAAATTTTGAACTCTTTCTTCCTAATATGTATACTTATAATTTCATTTTATTTTTACAAATAGAAATACGTCCTTCATTGGGGCAAATATACATCATTAGACAAAGCGTTGACAATTTATTCGAATTAGTGGGAAGAAGATCGACACCCATGTCGCCACTTTTTTAACAACTGCGTCGCAGTTACGCGTAGCTGCGTCGCAATTTTTCGCAATTACGGGTCACAGTGCGATCGCAGTCGAACATATGGGCATCATATGAATCATTAAATGATTCAAGATCATTATCATCATCTTTATCAACATCATCAACTGGAACAAAAAAACAAAGAATGAAACCAAGACCATGTTTAATTTGGAATACCAATCCAATTCAAGTGTTGTTGATGGCAAGGTTTGATAGAAATGACGTTACTAATCCAAACTTTCAATGTGGGTTATTATCAACAGGTTACATCCGCCGCCATCTTTTATCCGTTTATCCAAAAGAAGGGCTTGATAATAGACGAGCAATTAAAGCGAAAACAACAAAAAATAGTCCTATCACCATCACAAACACAAACCTCATATTAATTCCTGTAACTGTTGTAGATCTCACAACATTTGATAGATTAGTTCCGGAGTTTTTCGACCAAGAAGATATGAATTACGTTAATTCCCTGCTGTTCGAATTATCGATTGAAGAAACTCAACAAAAACTTAAAGAAAAATCAGAAGCAAT